ACAAAATGTTAGAGGCTCAGTTCAAACATAGTTATAGATAGGATAGTTCAAACTTTATAGGGGTATATTTGTCTAAAAAAGATTTTTCCTAACTCATGCTTTTAAAGGGAGTATGATAATACATCAACCATCTACCCCCTTACATGATAAATTCCACTTTCAGCCATATTCCTTTGATTTATGCCATTTTCATTCATATTTTCCTAGGACTTAAAATTTTAAAGATGCAGTGAATAATTTTTTACTTGCATTTGAATAGGACATTTATTAAATTTTAGTATGAAATAAAAATAAAATGATAAAATTAATATCAAATGTTTAGTTTGAGCAACATCAATATAAAATATAAAACAAGCGTACTTGAGCTAAAAAAAGAAATAAACATTGCCGACACTTCTATATAGGTTTTAATTTCTTTGGTATGTTACTTATATTTTAGAATTAATATTCCTTGTACACATCAGGGCTGTCTTTAAGATGTGTATCTTGATACATATCACATGCCAATACAAATCTCAAAGTAAATCGAATAGATAAAAAAGTTTGTGGTCAAGTGCTCCTGTCCACATTAGTACATTTAAAAAAAATATGATTTTAAAGATTTTTTAAGGTATATGTTACTCTTTAAATGTTACTCTTAACTTATCTTTATCATTTTCTACATTTTTCTTGCTTCTTTTAAGGAAAATATGAATTACATTTAGACCTCTCTTTAGACAATCTGTAATCCTTTCTGAGATAAAGGTAGGGTTTTCCAAAAAGCCCGCAGCCCAGGCCTTCTGAGATAAAGGTAGGGTTATCCAAAAAGCCCGCGACCCCGGCCCGGCCCGGCCCGGGTTTTGCCCGGATGCCCGGGCCAGACCCGGGTCAGGGCCCAGGCCCGGATTAGTTTTTCAAAAACCGGTCCGGACCCGAGCCCGGTCTAGAATCAGTGCCCGGGTGAGCACGAGTCCGGGCCAGGCGCCGGGCCGGCGACCGCTGGATGAAACGATCACCAGAATGTGACCGTTGTGGTAACGGCTGGGTCGGGCCGAGGACCCAACGATGCCCTAAGGTGATCGTTAGGACTATTTGCCAGCCGGGCCTGCGGCCAACCGGGCCCCTGCCCGCGTCCAGCCCGGCCCGGCCCGGCCCGACCATAACGACCATATTGGGGTTTTGACTGTTTTGCCCCTAACAACGGTCAAAATGTGAGGTTTTTTGGTCATTTGCCTAGGGGACTGCCTCTATAAATAGAGGAAGGTTTTCACTTCTTCTCCTCACACCAAAACTCTTCTACTTCTCTCTAGTACTCTCTTATATAATATTATACTCTCTTATAATCTCTTATATTTTCTAATACTTCCACCAAATGGCTTCTGGATTTGAATATGAAGAGCAAAATCTATCTCCTACTAATCCAGAAATGAGTCCTCCTACAACAACTACTCCTTCTACCGGTGTTAATCCTGAATCTGGTGGCGACAAATCTATACCAAGAGCTCCTAAAAGGCCGAGATCCGATGTGTGGAATTTTTTTAAGAAGATAGACGTCACCAAGGATGAACACGATAGGATCATCACCCAGAAGGATAAATATGCGTTGTGCGGCCAGATTTTCCAAGCTCATCATAAGAGCAGCACCAAGCACCTCAAATACCATATTGAAAAACACAACAAAGGCCAGAATTTTTAAGGTGATATCCGACAATCTATGATTTCTCAATCCTCCTTCTCTGGTAGTCTCGATAGTTAGAGTTATGACGCTGCCCAGAGCTAGAAAATGCGTAATCAGGTTTATCGTTCTTAAAAACCTTCTTTTTAGATTAGTAGAAGATGATGAATTTGAAGATTTGTTTAAAGATGATTTTTATCCTGCATTTACCAAATTTTCTCGTCAAACTTATCAACGTGATATTTTAAAATATTACCAGGAGGAACAAGGAAAAATAATTTCTTATTTTAAAAATTTAAAATTTAAAATTTTTTTAACTTCTGATATTTGGACATCTAGAGTGCAAACTGGTTATTTATGTATCACAGCACGCTGGATTGATAAAAATTAGCAAATGTTTAAAAGAGTTATTTTTTTATTGTAATTGAAGAGTCACATACTGGTATTAATGTTGCAAATTTAATAATTGAAGATCTTATGAACCTAAAAATTGATCAAAGAATATTTTATCTCTAGATAATGCAAATAATAATAATGTAGCTGTTAATTTTATCAAAATAACTTTATTATTGTCATGTCATGGTAAACTTTTTCATATTAGATGTATCTGTCATATTTTAAATTTAATTTTTCAAAGTGTATTTTCTAAAATTAAACCCATGATAGAAAAGGTTAGAACTATTACTAATATGCATAATGCTTCTGAAATAAGAATTAAAAGATGGAAACAATGTTATAAAAGAAAAAAATTATACGCCCAGACTAATTCCAAAAGATGTTGACTATAGGTAGAATTCCACCTATGCAATGTTAAGTGTAGCAATAGGATATAAAGAAATTATAAATGATTTTATAAATTTTTATGCTTCTAGTTCTAGTTCTGGTAGTAGTTATGGAATAACTGAAGATGAATGGATAATTATATATAATTTAAATGAGATGTTACAAGTCTTTTATGATGCTACAATGTTATTATCTAGCTGTTATTATCCAACAATTACTTTAGCTTCTTTACAAATTTTAAATATTCAAAAGTTTTTTTCAAAATATTGTATGGATGATACTTTTGGATCTATAATTTTTTAAATGGAAAGAAAATTTAATAAGTATTTTAGGCATATTCCTCATATTTTTGGTTTGGGGATTCTTATTGATCCATGTTTAAAGGATATTGGTCTTCGAAGTTTATTATAATCATTATATAGTGGACAGATTATAGACTTAGATGATGGATCCACCCTTACTGCTACTTCTCATCATTTAGCTATTAGAAATTATTTTTAAACATTATATGATGAGTATGCAGGCAGACATGGTGTAGCTGCACAACAGTCTACAGGTTCGGGGTCTTTGAGCACAGGCCGAGGTAAAAGTGTAAGTTTTGATAGGTATGCAATGGTAGCTAAACTAACTGGTGGATCTGAACTTGGATTAGCATTAGAGGTTTCTGAAATAGATGAATATTTATCTGTTTCCTTGGTTAAAAGTCAAGGAAATGCTTTAGATATTTTACAATGGTGGAGAGTATATGGATCCGTTTCATATCCTATACTTTCCACTATGGTTCGTGACTTACTAACAGTGCAGGTTTCGACGGTAGCTTCGGAATCCGCCTTCAGCACTGCAGGACGTTTGATCAACGACCACAAGACATGCTTAGATCCGTATACTGTACAAGCGGTGATGTGCTTACAAGATTGGTGGAGGTACGAGAAGCGAACGCAAGGCATCAATCGGATGGTTGGAATTGAAGATAAATTGAAGAGTTGGGACTGGCAGATAGGTATAAAAGATTAGATAATATTCATCAAATTATAATTTTTATTTCTTAGCTTTAAATTTGTAATGAATTATTTCGGAAAAAATTACAAATGATAGTGATATAGGTGAGTATGTGCTAACCTAGTTGGGATGTACTCTTCTATTGTGATGCGACAAAATTCTGAAATAAATTTATACTTGTAAAGGATTTACTGATTATTAATGAAGAAATTATTTTTATCATTTTTTATTTTTATAATTTTTTATACTTGTAATTTATGTCATTTCAAGTTAGTTAAAAAATTAATGTCATTTTCTGTAATTTTTATGTATATTTTATAATTTATGGGGATTTTTAAAATTTTTAAAAAATTAAAAAATAATAAAAAAAAACAAAAAACCCAGTCCGAGCCAACCGGGTCGGGTCCGGGCTTCGATTTTGCCCGGCCCGGGTGGACAACCCTAGATAAAGGCCTTCTATTGTTTTTACTTTAGATCAGGGTTGAATTATAACAGGTCCATGAACTCTTGTAAAGGACCAGAATTTCCGAAGAGAGGCCCTCTTTAATTAATGTTTTCCTCTGCCTCTTGGGAATCCATTCTAAAATATACCAATAACGCATTGTGCAGATCAATCTAAATATATTATATCAAGTCAACTCTATGCTCAGATTTCCAAAGACCGGGGAGGGGGGGTTCCAGTTTCAGAGCAACAAACGGCAGAAATCATAATATCATATGTAAAATAAAGCTATTAAATCACAAACGATCTAGACCTCTAAATAAACAATTGCAAGAGCTGGGTATACGCAAAAACTCCATTGGGGATACAAATACTAGTTAAATGCAAGAACAATTTCTATATTTGTCGTGCATACATTGTAGTTTTGTTGCTGCCTCCCGCTTTATAGTTTTTACATAATTACTGTTGTTGTTATAGGTATTTATTTTGGGTTATTAGACCTTGGGTCTTTTATATAATTAGTAACAAATTAACAATTGAAGTTACAGTATAACCTTAGTTACGACCCAAAAGGACTGCAATTGCAACTTATGTTCCAAATTGCATAGACCACTGGATGCAACTGGTAATTTTCGAAAAAGAAGTTCCAAAATTTTGGGGATTTTGCACAAACCCCCTTGAACTTTGAAAATTCCACAAAATCACCCACGACTTTTGGGAGTTTCATAACCCCCAACTTTGGTAAAGTACCACTAACAAATTAACAAAATAGCGACTAACATTCATACATTTAGAATGTATCAAAGTTTAAAAAAACTATAGCAAGTTTGCAGAATATTACAAGACAGTAGAATGTTTACAAAAGATTTAATTAGAATGAATCAAAACTTTTTCACAAATCTAAATTAGAATGAATCAAAACTTTTTCCAAAGTTTTGGGGTTCTTGTGAAACTCCCAAAGTTTAGGCGTGGAATTTTCCCAAAGTTTAGGAGTGGAATTTTTAAAATTAAGGAGGACTAATTTGTGCAAGAAAACAGGGAAATGGGGGTGATTTGTAAACTTTCCCCCTGCATTCATTAGTTGCTGATCCCTAACTTAGAGATTAGTGGGCAAAACAAGAAAGGAGAGAGAAATGAAGGGAAACGTTTCACAGGATGTAGACATGGAAGCTACCGCCGACGAGGCATGGGGAGTTTTCGGCACTCTTCGAGTCGTCGAACTTATCTGCAAAGTGCTCTCCGGTGCAGTCTCAAGGGCTGAGGTTGATGGTGACGGTGGAGTTGGCACTGTTATTTCTTTCGTTTTTGCTTCTGGTTTGTTTCAGAAACCTTTTAACTAATTTTGATTGTCATAGTTTTAATTTTGATGTTATATTATCAATATTTCTTAGTCAACCTCTAATGTTCTGTTGGTATCAGCATCATGCTTCTTCTACTATTGAGTAGCAGCTGTTTGAGCTCTGACAGAAGACTCTATTCACGATTTTAGATTTGATAAGGCTCTAATTGAATGGACGTTTGTGATTCAAAACAACACGTTTACAATAAAATCTTATTTAGTATAGTGGAGAAGTGCTACTATTGAATAATTAATAGACTAATGAATGGTTTGTTAGATTTATCTGGTTCTATTCGGATTTTAGGAATGAGTGCAACTCTTCAGGACATGGTGAGTGATTGATTTAGAATGAATCAGAACCACGCTCTAGATAATAAACAGTTGTTATAAAAAGCAGTGATCTCTTAACTACTTTTCTGATAGTATAGAAAGATCCAAATTATATCTGGAACTAGATACCAATTACCTTTGCTTTAATTCAACTAAATGTTGTTCACCTGTTTTTGAGTGAATTTGCATCATGGCTTGGATTGAAATATTACTAGACTGAATTTGTTGACTGAGAAGGTTGATTATAGCTTACAAAAGTGCCTTGGCAGTGTTCCAATGGAGATACACAATTTATTGCTAGATTTGGTTTTTGTTGGAGACATTAGATCTCGGATTGGAATTCTCTTCAATTAGGTGGTAATTGGAGAGAGTCTAATTACCTAATCATTACCGTTGATTTGAAGGAATGAGACATAGGATTCCCGTAATCACAAATAGTGGTTTTCACAATAGTGTTTTTCAACGCAACGGTTCTCAAAATAAGTGAAATCCTACGTGGTATCAGCTCATCCCCATGAACTACAATTAACAGTAATGATTAAGGTAATTAGACCCTCTCTAATTACCATCTAATTAGAGAAGATCCGAACCCATTAGATCTCTCTTTATTATGGTAAAAAGAAACAGATGCCTCTCGAACCAAACAAGTCATCACCACAAAACTCATATCACACTTACGTCATCTACCTAAATGAAATTTACATGAACTCACAGCTTTTGTCTGGCAAGGTAACAAAGCTTTCAAGGAAAAGATTGTGGCACTCGACAATGAGAAGCGCATTAAGGAGGTAGAGGTAATACAAGGAGGGCTTTTAGACTTGGGTTTCAAATCACACCGGGTTCGTTTTGAGATAATGGAGAAGAACCAGAGCCATTCCATAATCAAGTCGACCATCGAGTACGAGATCGACGACGAGCATGCGGAGAAAGCTTCAGTCGTCGACGATAATAACATTGGTCGCTTGGCTACTCTTGTTGAAGGAGTTGCCAAATGTCACCTAGAGGAGAAAGCTAATGCTGTCAAGTGCTAAATTTAACATGCTAATGCCTTCATCTTTCTTGTTCAATAATGAATTGCCCTCGGCGGGGGCTAACTCAATTATGTTTTTTTTTTCCCATTCACTCTATATATGGCTTGCTAATAACTTTTAGTTGGAACAACAGGCGTTGTGCTTCCATGCTATGAAACAACCACTGTTAGTGACGTGTCCCGACGATTGTTAGCTGTATATAGGTCCTAATGCGTCTGATATGGAGTCTTCCTTTTAGCACCTTTTTTTGTAGGTATTAATATTGTCCTCAGATCTGTAGGCATCGAAAATTACCTATAGGTCTCCACGAACGGCTCAGTGTTAAGAAAAGACGATGAACGTCACTATCCAGTTTACAGAAGCTTGATTGACGTCGACAAACGCTTGAAGTGAATCGACAAACTACGTGAAGCATCGGAGTTTCAGAATAATAAGGATACGAATTGATCGAGAGCCCCGCGTCGCCTACAAAAGGCGCTACGCCCCTCGTATCCCAGTTGATTCCACAGATGATCTAATCATTGGAGCTTATAGAACTTCTCGTCGGCTTTCCAACGCACTTTGAATCACTCAAATCCGAGTTCGGACGAAGAAGTTACGGCGGAAACGAACAAGTATACATAACGGAGCGTCTCAGGCTGAACTGGGACACCCGAGGTATCTCGGCACGAGCGAGACACCCTAAGGTGTCTCGGCCAAGGCCGAGACACCCTTGGGTGTCTCCAACCCCAGATCTGTCCGTTACGTGGTTTTAACCGCCCGGAACCCCCTCAAGCCTATAAATACAAGCCTCAGACCCTTATTTTTCCGGATCTGGAATTCTCGTGCCTCGGAGAAGCCCTGCCGGATTGAAGACTTAAAGTGCACAGATTTCAGAGAGGAGGAGGAGTTAGATCTGCAGCCCGGTTCGTTCCTTAGGATTATCCCGTTGTGGTAATCTTAAGAAGAGTGATTATCTCGCTTCGCCGAGATAAGAGCTACGGTTTCTCGATCCCTTAGTGGATAGACGAAACTCTGTCCAAATATTGATCGTTCGGTGGTCCACGGACTAACGCGTCCCCATCACAGGCCAAGATCCCACGCAAGCAGCGGGCGATAAACACTCGTTGTGTTTTTTTGAAGAGAATTGTAATTTTTTTTGTTTTCATTGTGTAAAAGTCTTATAAAGAGATTGATTTTTTTGTTTTCGTTGTAAACGTCTGAAGTTTGTAATGAATCCCACAATGAATCAATCAATTTTCACCGCAAACAAACTGGCGACCACAGTGGGAGCCAATAGTCTCGCTTCCGAGGTTGTCGTGCCGCAGCCAACGATCAAGATCCCCGTGGCTGAAGAGGTCGAATACGAGTTCGACCAGCAGAAGTTCGAGGAGTATGTCTCCTCCTCCTCCTCCAGATCTGCCTCTCCTTGTAGGTACAGGAAGGCCTCCTCCTCCTAGAAGATCCGTCGGTCTCCAGATCTAAAGACCCGAGAAGTCGATCTCCCCGTAGTCGATGCTACAGTTGCACCTTGCAACCAGATCTAAAGACCCGAGAAGTCGATCTCCCCGTAGTCGATGCTACAGTTGCACCTTGCAACGATCCGCTAGCATCCGATGAGACCAGATCTGCAGATCTGAACTCCTTCGCGATCAAGGAGCCGACTGTTGAAGGCGCACCAACTCTATCAAAGAGAGCACGTCAAAGAAAACGCCAACGCCTCGCGTACTAATTCGCCAAGGCTTTGGATCAGGTGGATGGACTCCATTACCAAGCAGATCTGGAGTTCAAAAAACGCCAAGTGGCTAATCTGTTGCCACGACCAGCATTGGAATCCTCCTCTCGATCTCTAATTAACGAATGGGTTCGTGTTAAAAGAACTCGCTCTACTCTCGAGGAGCGAATCCAGAAGCGTCGCGCCTTGCTTGTGCATGCCCGAACCCTTGTGCGAAAAGCACAGGAAATGCAAAAGGAAGAGGTAGTTAAGAGATCACCGAGATCCAAACAAGTTTGGGTGCCAAAAGCCAAATCAGCGCCTAAGGCAAAAGCAGGCGACGTTGCTCTCCGGCCTTCATCAACTCCAGACCCTACTCCCGCACTTCCGGTGAAGCCCTATGACAGCGTGGGTCTCTCCAAATCTAGAATCCCATTGAAGGATTGTGTCGGTGCCCTACCCGAGAATCGAGGGAAAACGCTTGTTAAGGAAAGCTTGAGACCGTTAAAGGAGCTTCGAGCAAACATCTGGACTGGGGGTCGTACGCGACCTCCTAACAAATTAATTTCTACAACAGCCCGCTTGGAGGTACGTGCAGAAAACCAGGAGCCCGTTAAGGTTTCACCCTCACAAGGGTGTGATTCCAAACGTGTGACTCCTGTAGATGCCAACAAGGCGATGTTTACTCAGAGGAAAACACGTCAGACAGACGAACGCGTTATACCTGAGAATCCATGTAAGCAGCCGATAGGTTACTCCGACCGCAACGTCGATGAGTTGTACTATCGGGCTGGGGGTACGAATAAATCTCGAAAGAGAAGTACCCGGGAAGCAGACTCTCACTGTCTGTGTATCAAAATTATCAGGGTAGTATTATCAGCGTGTAGCTGCCCCAAGACCGCTCTGCAGAGGGTCTCGGTATTCGAGAGGATCTTCGATGGAACGACGAAGCCCAAATCAAGGCGTTTCCACCAAAGAGGATCGGTTGTTCGAGATGATGAATTCTCAGAAGTTACCATCAACATGGTCAATAAAGGAAAATCTCCGATTGTTTCAAGTGGTTCCAATCCTAATTTCTCTCCATGAAGAAGAGTCAATTCGGGAATAACCCAACGAATATCTCAGCTTTAGGTAGAAGCCGTCGGATATAACGATTACCCGAGGATCCACGAAGGAATCCATTCCGATGACGAACTCTCAGATTCTTATTCCGCACTCGCCTCCGACGATACAACGTCTAGCATAGGACAAGCTCGGGAAGTGTTCATGATCAACACCGAGCAAATAGCCAAAATCATTGAGGATGCTCTAGCCAAGCAGAAAGAAACATTCAAAATCGAAATGAAATGGCTATGCAGGAAATGAGACAAATGCACTGTTAGACCCTAGAGGGGGGGTGATTAGGGTCTTATGCTAATCTAATCCCAATTAATAGCAATTAAAAGATATGTTAATCAATTAGTTCTTGCAAGAATAAATATGATATGAATATGAGCAATAAAGATGAATAATATGTACGCCAACCAAACCACAAACACACAATATGTTCACGAGGTTCGGTCCCCATGACCTACGTCCCCGCTCCTCACCTCGAGGAGATATCCACTATCACAATCCGGTTTGGAAGCCGGAACTTCTACACACTCGGTTTACAAGTTCACCGAAAACTCTCACACTACACAATCACTCAACAATCACACTTTACACACTAAGTGAAGGAACCTAGCCCGTGTCCTCCTCCTCAAGTGCTCGATTACAACCTCTCCCTAGGTTCGTCAATCGACGCCACTCCTATTGGATTTGACCCCGTCTCTCTCTCCTCACACTTCTCTCGGTGTACAAGTGTATTACAAGTGATTCTCACAAATAAAAGTTAAATACAATGATTTTGTTCTCAAATAACAAGTGAGAACTCAATGAAGCTCACACTCACTAAATCACACCCCACAACCCACATTATATGGTATGAAGATATTTAAGCTCAAAAAGTGTGTGTGATAACAGTGAATGAAAATAATATAACTCAATGAATATAGCTAATCAAATGAAAATGAAATAATAAGCTATATAAGGAAGAGTTTAGAAAAACTTCTCAATGAGTAAGAAGAGCTGAAGAAATGATGATGAGGATGGATTCCTCAATTTGAATTCAAGGCTTCTTCTTTGTGAAAAACTGCTTTTTTGAAACAAGGCTTGAAACAAGGCACTAAACACCTCTTAAACACTTTGAAAACTTTGTAAACTTAAGTAATTAATTTTCTTGAGTTGATTTAGTGTTGAAAGCAGTAGGGTATTTATAACAACCCAATACATCAGTAAAAACCCAAGTAAAAAGACCAAAAACCCATTAGAAAACAAAACAGAGAAGTAGCCGTTACAGTGCAACGGCTATATCTGCGGGCGACCGCAGATCCATGGCCGGTCGACCGCTGAAGGCTCCAACAAATATGAAACTTTAGGCAAAGATTATAAATGTGAGAATAAGCATGTTTGAAAAAGGAATTGTTGGAAATGCAATATTATTTTGTAAAAGCTCACTGTTTTTGAACAGTGTACAGAAAACCTGTTTTTCATTAAAATATGACTTATGAAATTGTATTTATATTTCTTGAGTACATTATAAATATTATGAAGTATAATAGAAATGTAAACAAGAAACAAAAAACAATTCTAATAAAGTTTGAACCAAGAATCATTTGAAACAGACTTGTGTTGTGTATACATACTGAGCTTAAATAAAGTCATACGATATATGTAAATAAAGTTCTCTTATACCTAGGTGATTGACACACATAAACTTGCATCTTCAACTCTTAATATAGAGATCTTTTCACCATGTGTTGATGTCCTGAAAAGGAAAATAAGCCACAACCACTAGAAAACCAATTATCTATAAATTGTTTGCTAAAGCATCATCAAAACCAAAGGGCCAACATGCACGACCAACAAATCCGAGCTTTGTCGAATCAGCTAGTTGAATCCAGCCGTCGCACCCAGAACGCCGCAGTTGACAGCGATCCAGAAGTGGACGAAATCATCATGGCCGACGCACCTCCCAAAAATACTGGGTGTGGTTCAAATGCACCCCCTACAGATAACGACGCTGGGGGTGGACCCCACCAATAATGATAACACTAGGGGTGGTCGCATTATTCTTCTCGAAAATTGTCCAAAACAGGATATAGATGAGGACGAAAAGATGAAGGGTCTCGAGAGCAAAATTGACACCCTGATGTCTGCTCGAGAGGTGAAGAAGACCGGGATTCTGTGTCCTTACCCAAGAGAATGGGAATCGATCCCGTATCCGGCGAAGTTTAACCTGGTCAATTTCACGCCGTTCGATGGGAAGGGGTCGCCCTCTCAGCACCTGATCTACTTCAGGTCTCATTTGGGTATGATCTCCGGCAATGAAGCCTTGATGGTTCGGTC